AAAACGTGAATATTTATCTGAGTCTGAATTATTTTGCTTGGCATGATTATCTCCAGTTCCATCCATTTTAATAGAAACATGATTTTATTATTTATGGCTGAAAAATACCCAGTGTGTGTGTTCACAATCAAATTCATTGTCTGACAGACATCTGGGCTGATTCCATACTTGGCCATTGGGAATAGTACTGCAATACATGTGTGTGTGCAGGTAGAAGCTGATGTTGTCTTCGTTGGGTATGTACCCAGGAATGGTATAGCTGGGCCAGAGGGTAGTTCTAGTTTTATCTTTATGAGGAACCTCTATTCTGACTTCCATAGAGGCTGGAATGATTTACATTACCACTAACAGCGTATAAGGGTTTCCTTTTCCCCTGCATTTGTTTTCTTGATGATTGCCATTCTGCATGGGGTGAGATGGGATGTTAATGTAGTTTTTGATTAGCATTTCCCCATGGATAAAGATGTTGGGCATTTTTTCATGCATTTATTGGCCATTCATACTTCTGCTTTTGAGAAGTGTCTATTCAGGTTGTTTGTCTATCTATGGATTGGATTACTTGTTCTTTTGTTGTTTATTCTTTTAGTTCTTTCTATGTACTGAATTTTAGTCCTCTGTCACATGAACAGCAGGCAAAGACTCTCCCATTCTGTAGGCTGTCTTGTGTTCTGTTGATTGTTTTCTTCACTGTGCTGAAAGTTTTTAATTGGATATAATCCCATGTGTTAATTCTTGCATTCATTTTCTGAGCTTTTGGAATCCTGTTCAGGAAATTGTTGTCTATGCCTAGATCTTGAAGTGTTTCCTCTCTTTTCTTTCCTTTTTCTTTTTTTGGCAGCTTTTGGGGTCCTCAAATAAAACACGCACATGAGTCATCTGTGCATTTTCTTCTCTGCACAGCCTGGCAGAGAAGGGTGAACCCGATGGTCAGCTGGGTTGTTCTTTCCAAGAAGAACAATGCTTCTTGGAGGAAGCTTTGTGAGTGATCTCAGCAGAAGACTGGGTGTAGAGCTCAATGTGGTGGCGCACACCTGTAATCTCAGTGCTCATATGGCTGAGGCAGGAAGATCAAGAGTTCTGGGCCAGCCTTTGAGTCTTTGTCTTAAAGGAGAAAAAAGATAAATGTTGTTGCACATCAAAAGCACTTCCAGCTCCTTGGCATTCTGGACTAGGAGCTTTCAGAAGCTGTTGGGCAGCATATACTTTGCTTTCTTGGCATCAAGATCTGCTCTTGAATCTTCTCCACACCCTGTTGTCAGTACCTTCTGGTTTCCATCAGTTATGCTTAATTTTGACATATTGGTCTGGCTGGTGCTGGGTGAACTTCTTGGTCTTCTTCTTGACAATCTTTGGCTTTGTGAGAAGTCTGAGGGCAGCCATGGTGCTGAATAAGAGATGGTGGCCATCTCCATAGGCAGTGCCAAGAATGAAGGGTCCATGTGTTTTCTACTGGTTCCAAAGTTTCAGGTCTAACATTGAAGTTTTTGATCCATTTTGAGTTGGTTTTTGTACAGGGTAAGAGGTAGGGATCTAGTTTCAGTCTTCTACATGTGGATAGTCAGTTTTCCCAACACTACACCTTTTTCCACTGTATGTTTTTGGCACCATTGTCAACAATCAGTTGGCTGAAGATGCATGGATTTATTTCTAGATTCTCTATTCTATGCTTGTTTTTTATGTCAATATCATGCTGTTTTTGTTATTCGGGTTCTGTGGTTTACTTTGAAATCGGGTCATAATACCTAATTGTGATGCCTCCAGCATTGCTCTTTTTGCTCAGCATTGTTTTGTCTATTTGTCCAAAGGTCCTACTTCTAAACACCAAGGTTGGATTAAATTTCTACCCTCTTACTACTGTTCAACACATGAACAGTTGGGGACATATTTAAACCATACCCAGACTATAGCATCCCTTCTTTCCTCTTCTCATCCTGGTGAATGTGTACCTTGTGATTCATCCTACAAGGTGACAATGAATCATGTGAAGATGATAATGAATGATAATCCACTTGTGTGCTATTATTGTAGATTAAGAGAAGATTCTCCAAGGCCTGTCCTTGGAGACATGGCCTAGGCTTTGTTTGCTGCCTCAAGATGGTGACTTCAATGGTGGGAACCCCAATAGAGATGAAAGGGAAGATGGAAGATGCTCATAATATAGTGCCAAGCTCTTCTCTCTCACTATGCCTGTGGAGAGGCACATGGCAAGGCAGAGTTCAAGGAATGCACAAAGTGACATCCATATGCCATTCCCCATCTTGAAGCTGATAGGCTTTGCAAAGGTGAAACAAACCCATTGGCCATTCTCAGTGTTGTTGAAGGCTTGGAAGTAGCAGGTTTCTCCCAACATAAAAAGGAGGAAGTGATAATTGGTTTACAGAATTGTTGGAAGGTTTGGAGATAACATTTAAGAGCACAGCAGATTCCACGGCACCTGGTACTGAGAAGATGCTTAGTAATTACAAGTTATCCTTATTATAAGGTTAATGCTGATGGGGTGGAAGACAGCGATGCCAGGGCTCTTCATTTTCAGGCATTTGGAGATTAGGTACTCTTGGCCTCCCTGTGTTGTCTTAATTTTGTGATGCTGCAGACACAGAATGCATATTCCAGGTCTAAAAGGCATGAGAAGCCCTCTTCAGAAACACAGCTCATAATGATGGGTTCTTACTTGCTGGTGAGCAACTGGTCCCACAAGTTAGGAAGATCATGTCAGGCAAGCAGTCTGTCCCCATAGTGCCCCAGTTTTGCTAACAAACTGAAGGGTTGAAGCAAGTCTTTTGTCCCATGTCTAGTTCCATTGCCTATAAACACAGAAAACAATCTGATTCTAGAGAGGGGGGTGGTACATTGATGAATTTACAGAGCACTGATGTACATTTTGAAAAAAAAAACTATATTTACCTAAAGAATACCTTTCTTTGTAGAAACTGGAGATACTGTAATGCTTTTCTTTAGTTTCATTAGTTATTTAATATGTATCTTAAATGTCTCTGGCTCTGTCATCATTTGCTATGAGATGTAAACTCCCAAGGACACAGATGATGTCTGCTTCATTTACTTTTTAGAACACCCAGAAAAATGCCACAAACGAGTAGATTTTTAATCCATTTGAATGTTATCATTGCAGACTGGAATATAAACTATATCCCTTATTCATAAAAATTACCATTCTAATCGTATTTTGACCTTTTAAGACCAGAAATTTAATGAAACATTTCCATTAAAGTAACATTGAATGTGCTTTTATACAGTTCAAATGTATAAATACTGGTTTATTTTAATCTAAAAATATTAATATTAATTGACTTTCTATAATAAAAATCTGGCCAATGTAAAAATTGTAGAAAATGCTGAAAAATACATAGGAAAAATAAAAAGTCATTCTTCATTTCCATGCACAAGGATGATCATTTTGATTATTTTGGTGTTTTTCTTGTATGAGTCATTTTAAGATGTTATTAGTATTACTACTTAACTAATTTTAAGACTTTCAAAATGTCTTCTTACTGTGATTTTCATCATTTAGTTGGGGGTCCCATGTTCTTGCTAGTAGGCATTCTTGTTTTGTTAATTTTTCAATGTATTGAATACTTGGTGAGTTCAAGGAAAGAGTTTACCATGAATTACTGGCGACTTATTCCTGTTTCAAAGGGAACGTGTGGTTACCATGAAGGAAAATTTAATCCATCTTGCCCCAGTGCATTTGTTCTCTGAGAACCAGGTGAACTACCTCTGACTATTTCCCCAGGATTATGTCACCCACCAAGGCAACTTTCCGTTTCAGTAGGTGATGTTAAGAAACAAAACAACACCCTTGAGGTTAATCAGTTTTTGGAAAATAGAGACTGGCTTTATATTCCACAGCTTTGATGTGCTTAACAGTTCCTGTAAGAATCTGCCTCTCTCTTGTTTTGATTGACAAGACCTTTCCTATATATTTGAGCAATCAAGCAGCCCAGTAACAGAGAGACATTTACCCAGAGCTAACTCCTACCACTCATTGGGACTTTCTAAGACTTTGGGTACAAGTGTCAGCTCTAGAAGAAGAGTTGGCTCCAGCAAGATCAGGTAAGTACCACTGAGTCTTTATAACTTCATTCTTCCTGAGTCAAAACCCAGGCATCGTGTAAGGTGATAGACCAGTGGGAACTATGATAGCAAATTTGGAAATGCAGCCCATAAGTAATAAGGACCTGGTGGCATTCTACACTTACAATGTCCACCCTCACTTTAACATCCAGGTGTGTTCTGTCTAGTGGGACAACCATGAAGGGCCCATTCTGGTTACTAGAGCACAGAAAATGATCAAGACCCAAAGAGAATAGACTTGACGATGGATTGATTGGAATTATGTTTGAAATACCTCCAGTGCTTTCCAGCATTAGGTTTTAAAGTGAATCACTGCTAGGTGCTTATTTCAGCAGAAGTATACAGCAGAGGCAATTTGTAGTTAGTAGGACATATTTTTATGAATGACCACCAATCAGCTGCACGTCCATGTTTTGTGGCAGGTTTGATTAATAACAACACATGTACCATTATTAATAAGTACCTACCTCATCCTCATCCATGACACTGAAAATACAATCTTGAGCAAAGCACTCCAATATCCTAGAGTTAAATAAAAATAATGTATGTGTACTCATGGATTATGTTAGATATGCATTATGTTTGCTATCACTCATATTTTGTGTTCATTTTAAGAAAACACTGGGACAAATGTCTTTGATATACAAGTCAACTTCAGCAGTTGGGTTACAATAAGGAAAAGCCTGAGAAAGCCCTTCAAGAGTTGAGTATCTAGAGAGATCCATGGATCCATACGTGAGCCAGTTACAGAAACTTTGGGCACCTATGTTGAACTTGTTGGTATTTACAACTTCTTGCCTCAGTGCTAACAGCAAGGTTCCTTTGACAGTGGTCAACACGCTCTTGGCTGCCCCACTGCTGGTACTGGGTTTGTTAAATTCTATTTTCTCACCCTCTTTGGGGATAGCATGAAGCCGGCATACCTTGTTCTTGGCACCATCGTCCTCCTCCTTCTGTGTGGCTGTGGCTCTGTCCTCAGCACTTCCAGTGGGAACCTGCGCACCTTTGTGGGCTGTGCTGTGAGAGAGTTCACTTTCCTGGCCAAGAAGCCAGGCTGCAGAGGCCTTCGGATCACCACAGATGCCTGCTGGGGCCGCTGTGAGACCTGGGAGGTAAGTGGCAGGGCAGTCTCAGGTGGCAATGGCCCTAGGGCCAGATCTTGGGCCTGGTTCTCAAGTGCTTAATGCTGTGGTGGTAGAAGGGAAAAGGGGACAGGTCCCATTTTGTTTAGATTTAAAATATAACAGCACAATAATATGGTATCTTTCAAAAGTGATCTGAAAACCACAATGTTGCCCCTCTAAGAAAGTATTGAGGAGATAAATAACTTGATTCATATGGTATCTGTGTATTTGGGAGACATCTCTGGGAGGTCAAAGTGTGCTTCTGTTCTATCCAATTTATAGATAGCAAGGGGGAATTAAAGACTGAGTAACTCCAAAGTCTCATAGACAATCAGTGTATAACTGGTAATAAATTTTTGGTCCAAGCCTATGATTAACTCTCCTTCCTGTGTTCCTGCATCTGTGGTAAAGTCAGTCAACTACCCAGGAAGAGCCCCTAAGCTGCACGGTGAGTGAGGGCTGGACCCAGGCCCCCAAAATCTCAAGTAAAGTTGAAATTTTATTGGGCTGAAGTGAGGAGCTGTTTAAGCTATGAAGTGGGGGGGCGGGGGAGAAGCGGGGAGGGCGACCACTGAGCTCCCATCAACTCAGGCCACACGGCAAGCAGCTGAATCTCTTACCAAAGTCTGCCTTGGTAACTAATGAAGTACCAACTGATCTTGTCACTGCCCAGGTCCCAAGCCTTCAATGACACTCATCACAGTAATTCAATACCAGCTTCCAAGGTCCTCAGCAATATGGTGTCTGCCTGCTTTTCCAGAGACTGTATATATTATTATCTTTGGCCTTAGATGCAGGCTGACTTAGATGAGGCTTTATTAATGAGTCCTCAGAAAAATCTCCTTTTGGTTCTTTCCTCTGTCATTTCCAGCTGTCATTATTCCTCATTGCTCGCCTCCCATCCCAGATCCTTTTCTAAGTTTCAGATGGCTTCTTGACAATATTGTACCTTTTGTTTCACTTCCTTCCCCAAGACACACAAGTTTTGTTGAGGACAGAGGTTCATTCTTGTGACTTTCACAGTTTTTGTCAGTGTCATGTATGAGCAAGGCCTTGAATCAATATGTGTTGAAGTAGATAGGACTGAAGACCTGGAGCCTAGCGAAAACCAACTCTGGAACACATGTGGACACTGCCATTGGGAAAAATGGCTTCTTTTGAGGGACTCAGACAGCAATCTGTTGTCCCTTAGATTAAATTAAGGTCCTCCGAATGGTACTGGGTCATATTGATGAAATCTCCAGATTAAATGAAACCACTCCACCTAATTAGCCGTATTTTTGCATCATTCAGGGGCTTGAAACCTAACTGTTAACTGAAAGTTCAGTTTTGCTAAGTAAACTTTGTCTCTTCACTTGAAATGTGTGCAGGAAACTTGAGTACCTTCTCGAATGCAAAGCTTGGCCTGGCTGTGCCTCCCTTGCCCACCTCTGTAATCTGGGTTATTGGGAGAAATTTGTGTGCCAGATTCTCAGACTCCTGTTTTCCCTCATCCCATCTTCTCTTCTTTTATAAGTGGACAAATGTCTCTAATTGGACCATGGTCATGCATAGAAGGCCAGGGACTGAGTTCTTGCTGGAGATCCAGAAGTACCAGGACCACAAAAGATCCAGACTCTCCTTAATTTCTAGCATTTTTTTTGCTTGGACTTTCACTGTGTTAGGAAAAGAGAGGTTAGCTATGGAAATAAATAAAAGAACAGGATTCATCTTTCCAATAACCAGAAAGTGTCTGCAAAAAAGAGTACTTTTTCTTGGTGGCATAACTGGGAGCATGTCTGAAAATCACAATATTGATGGTGACAGAAGGACTAGATTTGCTATTGATGAAAATAGCAATTTCTCAAGACCTGGGTTTATTGTTACCAGCTTTTGCAAATACAAACCAAAAACCATAAAACCAGCTTATCAAATAAAAAAATCCCATTAATTCTCCCCCCCAAATTCCTCCAAATCCAAAGTAAAACCAAACCAAAAAACATAGGAAGCCCACATAAATTCAAATTCCAGATAAACAGCAAATTTTTAAAAGCATAGGTCTATCCAAAACATTGCATGGGACAGATTTATACTAAAAATTATCTAAAATACAAATTTAACTAGATGCCTGGTCTGCCTAAAGCTCTAGAGGATTGAAGGTAAGAGGATAAAAAAATACATGAATGGAGGTAAGAGAAAGTGGCTGAAGGCTAATTCAGCTTTCATATGTGGGCATTGTGGAAGGCAAGGTTGCTATTTTCATAACATTCAGGTAAGGACTTTATCTTGAGCTTGTGTATATATGTATGTACGTATGCATCTACCATTTCTCTTTATCTCTATCTATCATCTATATATTTATCATCTATCTATCTATCATCTATTTATCTATCTATCTATCATCTATCTGTCATCTCCCTCCCTTTCTTTTTATTTTTGCCCAAGACAAGTGAAGGTACCATCCTTTGAAAGACTTGTTACTTTTGTTCTTACTTCCTTGTAATTGCTCTCATAAGAACAACGGATTGCATTTATTGAACACTTAGCTTGTACTGGGCACCGTACATTGCACACATCATCTCACAGATCTTCACAACAATGTATGATGGCAGTGTTTTGTTTTACAGATGAGGAAACTGGGGCTTCATGGAGTGAAATGATTTTCTCCAGCAAGGGTAGAACAGTCAGGCACTGGAGCTCCTCAGGTCTGACTACAGGCCTTGAAGTTTTTTACTAGTCTTGTGCTGAGTTTTCTCTGATCTCTATGTTCTGTTTATCAAAATTATCTTTGAATCCAAGGTTTATGAAAGTTGAAGGAAGAAAGTGAATCTTTCTTTTATCAGAAGAGTGCATAGAACATTCCTGGGTCTGTTGTCTTTTGTTGATTCAACACTGAGAAGTTACTGAGAACTTCTTGGGTATGTTCTGGATCACGGCAGTGAGTGAATGTCCAAGAATCCCTGTCCTAAGAGAACTTACTCTCCAGAGTGGAAAAATGTCACACCTCATGTACATAGGATGTCATGAAGTATGGAGGAAACCAATGTAGGACAGGGAGAGGAAGTGCCAGGATATGAATGAGGGAGGCTGCAATTCTAAATAGGATAGTCAGGAAATGCCTCCTTCAGAGGGTAACATTTGAGAAAAATGTAAGGTTGGTGAAGGAATGAGTCATAAGGGAGAAGAATGTCCAAGCAGAGGATGTGCAAGCAAATGCAAAGACCCTCAGTGGGATTGTCCCTGGTTGGGTTGAGGAAGTGACAGAAACCACTGTGGCTGGAGCGAGAAAGTCAGCAAGGTGGGGATTGTTACAGATGTTTTAGAAGATAAGGTCACAGGGAGTGTGAGGTAGTGGCTCAGGGTGCATCACAAGGTCTTTGACATTCTACTGGGGCTTTGAACTGAGTTGGGTTTTAAGAGGACCACTCAGGCTGCTCTGTTGCAAGCAGACTGGAGGAGGTAACTGTGGGGAGGGGAGACTAGTTAGAAGGCATTTGCAATGATCAAGTGTACTCTTTTGCTAAATATTTATGGAGCACTTCCTGTGTGCGGGTAACTCTTCTGGAAGTTCGGTCTGTGGTCGTGAGCAAAACCAGCTTTCTACTTTCAGGAGTCTTCTTTCTACTGGGAGGAGATGGAATAATAAGTAAACAAATAAAAACCAAATTGATTTCTGGTAGTGATGAATGGTCCCAATAAAATAAAATAGGATGGTATGTTCTAATGGGTTTCCTATTTTCTTCCTATGGGGACAGAAACCCATCCTGGAACCGCCCTACATTGAAGCCTATCATCGAGTCTGTACCTACAATGAGACCAGACAGGTGACTGTCAAGCTGCCTAACTGTGCCCCTGGAGTTGACCCCTTCTACACCTACCCTGTGGCTGTCCGCTGTGACTGTGGGACCTGCTCCACTGCCACCACAGAGTGTGAAACCATCTGAAGCTGACGGGGTCTACAGAATGTAGCTGGCAACCTTGAGCCTCTCAGACCCATCTGCCCACACAGCACAGCAGCTCTACCCCATGGATTCAGGACTTTAATTCTGACCATTCCTAGAGAGGAACTTACCTGCTTCCCTTTGGTCCAGCTTAGGCATAAGGACCAGGTGTGGCTAACTTATGCTAACAATGAAAGAGTATTTATTTGTGTCCTCACCAAAATAATTCCTCTGGTTCCTACATCTGCAAATTAGTTTCTTTTACCTTGAGTTTAGGAACAGAAGTTATATATTCCAACCCTCTCCCAATTTGAACTGGTAATATGCTACTGATTTAAATGCATTAGATATAATTAGGAAATGGAACTAGAAAGTCTTTAAATTCTGCTTAACTACTGATCGTGAGTTGGATTTATGATTAGAGGGCTAGAAATGATCAAAATGGTACACTTCTCTTCCTTACTCAAAAAGAAATCCAAGTGCAAGTTTCCTTAGAGAAAAGGCTTCATTTCCCTTTTAACTGAGCAATTATCTACACAAGAAGTGGGCACTGCTCAGACTGCCATGAAGAGGGGACTCAAGAAAGAGAACATCTCAAAGTAAAAGGTGCTTGGACATGGCTAATTCTTGTCCTGAGCAAAATTCCCTAAGTGACCCAAGTCCCTTAATAAAGAAGCTACTTGGTGAGTAAAAACAAAAACTTGGAAAACAATGTGCAACTAGCAGCTATCATTTAGGTTTAAAAATCTCTTAAACTAAACTCAAGTTTCTAGAGTGTGATATTCTCCTACAAGCCGTGGCAAAATAGTAAATTACAAATATTCTTCCCTGATTGGCATATTTTAAGTTTAAATAGCCATTTATTAAGCTCAAAAATTTTAATAGGGGTAAAACTGTCATGCTGTGATTGTCTTGCTCTTACCCTCCCTAAAATCTTACAACGGCTGACTCTGTAACCTTTTTTAAAGAAACTCTAATTTTATCCAAATGTCTTTTAGTTCCAGGATTTTGGGGGTTGAATTAACCTTGTTCATTTTTCACACTATGCTGGGAAAATCTGTATTAATGCCAATAAAGCATGTTCTCTGTCTTTTGAATTCATGCAAACTTTCAGAAAAGTCTTTTTAGTCTTTCACATACTTGTTACACCAGTAAGAACACTTAGAATGAACTACAAGAATATTTTTACTTAAGCATTAATTTGAGATTTCATCCTGAGTAAGGGACACAGGCAGATGACTCTGGGGACTGTGAATCCTGAGGACGTGCAACTATAAGCCTGGCATGTCCCAGCTGGGAGCCTGAGTCCTTATGGGAGGAATCAATGAGTCCCAGTGAAAAGCGGTGGAGCAAATGTTAGACTGATGGTCAAACACTGTAAAGTGGGGTGAACTACTGGAACAAAGGGCAGAGTCAAACCCAACCTGTAACAGATCTGTTGGGGAAAGGAAGTCATTGACACAAAAAGGAGCTGAGTGCCCGGGGTCTTTGCTGGGACAGTGAGTGCGATCAGGGATGAGACTGGGCTGTACTCAGGTGCTTTCAACCCACCTCTAGGAGCCTTCTTCAGGATTTCCAGGGGAGTAAGGCTTGCAGAATTTGAGGAAAGAAGACCACAGATCAATAAGGGTCCTGGTAGGAAACAAATGACACATTTGCAAATGTCTGGGCAAATTAAGGAAACCAAAAAGGACAAGTGAGACACTTGTGGTTTGGAAGAAGTGAGCAACCCCAAGCTGAAGTAACAAGAAGAGGGAGTGATCATCACACCCCAGAGAGAATGGCAGGAGAAAATGCCTGATGGGATCCCAGCCTTTGGCAGGAGGGTGCAGCCATTACCAAATGGAAGCTTTGGAGGAAGAAGGGGGACAGGTACCCCAACTCCACTCTCCTTCCATCTCTTGGTCTTCTGTTGAGTTAAATGGGAATCAGATGGGAAAGTGGAGAGCAAGGAGACCCATTGGTTTGGTCTGTAAATGTTTGCCTCCTGGGCACCAGATTAAAGAAGGGTGGACAGTGGACCTAAGGGCCAATGGATAAAGTCCATATAGTTAGCTTTTGGGACGTTCAGCTACAATGCATAGGCAGTAATCTTGACTGCAAGAGCAGTAAGGCACAGGGTGGTAAACTTTCATGGGATATACACAGAAAGGTATATGCTTGATAATAACATGTCAATTGCATTTGGAGCTATGAGGACAATGGGAGTTAGAAGGATTGTGGGATTTGTTGGTTGTTAGTTGCAGCCAAAGCCCTCAGGGCATGACATGAAAACTACACTTGAGGATACTTCCTTCCAATGCAGCTAGAAGGCAGACTGTGCTGAAAATCAGACCTAACATCTAATAACTGGGTGAAAATCAGACCTAATATCTAAGTTGGAGAGTAGGTCAGCTATTACAAAGGCTGAATCTACCACCCTGGCAAATCTCTTACACTTAACTCATTGTCCTGATTGAGAAGGAAGGAGACATGAAGACCTAGAATGAGGACAATTAGGTAGGTGTGCTTGAGGTTCCCTTGCAGAAGGCCGTAGGTCTTTCTCCTTGATGAAGGAGAACAGACTTCCTTTGCCTGGAGATCAGGCTGGGACTCCATCTGAGAAGCATGAGGACAGTTGTCCTGAAACACTGCTCACAGTGTTCTGGATAAATAATTAGGGTCAAGATGACCTGGCTAGGGAAAGATTTGTCCTTTAGGGTGGTGGCAGGGGGAATGAGATTTTTCCACTGAATGAGCTTCAGGGCTTGACAATGTAAACCAGGAGGAACTGGTAGATTACACTTGGCAATGGACCTTGAGGGTGTTAGCCTGGGATGAGAGGAGGAGAGTGGCAGAAGGCATGACTGGATAAGAAGATTTTATCTTTATGGGGGCTTCCACAGGATGTACCACCATCATAAAGCCTTTAGGATCTGGTCACAATGTGCTGTCGATGATGGCTCTTTTAAGCTTGGGGAAAACAGTGGCTTGCATTAATGAAGAGGAGAGACCTGAGCTGTCCAGGCTGAGTACTGAGGGAAAAATGTAGGCTTGGCTAGAGTGGATTTATTACTAAGGCAGAGACCTCACCAGCCAGCTAGGCTCACCTGGAAGGTTCAGAGGACATCCCCTTCACCAAAGCAACAAGGGCTGCTCTGGTGAGGAGCACATAATCATAGAAAAGTTCCATGGTGGTTGACCTTTGTGGACCAGAGGGAGTTGCCATGGAACTGGGCTTCCTGGTGTTGACAGAGGCCAGATGGTAACACAGAGCCATGAGAAGCAAGGTGGGCATAATTACTGTAATAGGTAACAGAGAGGCAATGGTGACCAAAGGACTGTGATCTGTAGGGTATGTGCTGCTGGCTAATGGTCCTTGGTGTTCCAAGTTTATGGTGTTCAAAACAATTTTTTTTTGTGGTATTGGAGATTAAACCCAGGGTCTTGCCTATGCTAGGCAATTGCTGTACCACTGACCTGCATCACCAGTCAATTTTTTTTTACAATAAATATATATTATAATTAGAAAAGTTATCAATGAAAAAGAAGTTATCTATCAGGATTTATACCAGTGCCAAGCCTGAATCTTTTTCAAATCTCCCTCTCCTCTCTTCCCCCTCCCTCTTTCCCACAACTTTATTTTTCTTCTACAAATATTGATTAATTCCAATTTTGTGCAAGGCACAGTGTTTGGGAAATAAAGATATAAATATGTGACCATTTATAGAACACTTACTCTAAGCAGTACCTTTTATCATTAATTGTTCTTTATTTTGTGTCAATGACACAAGTAAGCATTGTTATTGTCATTTTACCATTCCCATTTTATGGAAGACGAAACCAAAGCTCAGAAAAGAAGTGTTTTTTTTTCCTCTCCCTTGCAATGCTGAGGATCAAACTCAGGGCATTACTCATACTGGGCAATTGATCACTGAGCTATACCTCCAGCCAAGAGAGGTCAGGTAACTTGCTCAGGGTGACATAGTTAATAAGCAGCACATGCCTGGTTTCTTGTCCCAGAACCAAACTGTTTCCACTGGAGCTTTGGAATGCTCCTTTCAAGTCATTCTTGCCTGAGAAGTCTTTGAGTTAATGGATGTTAGGCTATTTCTCACCATTTTTAGTCTTTCCTGGAGGTGGCTCAATGCAGGGTCAGGTTGTCCTATGAAGTCTGAAATTTTTCTCTTGTTTCCTATATAACCTCTAGAAAAATAATGTTTTGCTATAGCTCACATAAAATCTGACAACAGAAGAGACAGAGGGTGAAAAGAAGCAGAGCCTCAAAGGGTGATTAAAAGACTATGGTGGAGATGAAGGTTGTGTGCTCTGAACTGAGTTCAGGACGTGAAAATGGGCACAGGGGAACGGAGGGTGGTCCACTGCATGCAGGCAGGGCAGCTCTATATAAACTAATTCTCAGTAACTCTTTATCTTGGAAATATGTTTATTTTGTAGTTAATGAAAAGGGAGGGGGTGGGTTTCCTGGATTTTTTTTTTCCACAACAACATTTTTGATTGGGGAACATCAACTGTCAGAGCTCACTCCACTTCCGTTGTATTAGACTCACTGGTGGGAGTGGTAATTCACGCGTCCTTCTTCCATTGATTAGGAAGGCAATGAGCCACTAAGAAAGTACAAAGTTCTTCTGTGGTGGCCCAATTAGCTTCTCAAATAATAACATTTTTTATGTAATAAAATCATTTTAGGGATAACAGATGGTAACAGGTAATTAGATGTATCTAATTGAAAACACTCTATCATTGATAAAACAAATTGTATTTCATAAAAATTTTCCATGGAGTCTTCTTCATTCAAGAGGCCTTTTCTTCAAAACAATGTGGACCTTAACCTTTTTGTTCTTTTCTTCAGAATATTAAGGGAATTATTAAGAGATAATGTTTAAACTATTCTTTAGCAAATTTCTTGAATTTTATTTTCTGTTGAGATTTTCTACTAGTGAAACAGTCTACTGGGTGAATCTTGCTCCTATTTGCATGGTGAATCTTCAGGCCCTTTTTGG